AATACTCTCCACAACTTCCATCCAACACTTTAATTACTTATCATTTTAAGGAGAAAGATAAGGAAAACTACTCAGAATCTATGGAGAAAACAAAACCACACTTTAGTTTAAAAGTAGAAATAATTGTCAAACCAACAAGAAGTCTCGATTAAAATTAAAAATAATTTAAAAGCAAAGGTAAAAACTTATCTCAGATCATCCACCAAACGCTTGAAGTTCCTTTGAATTTCTTCTCTCTTACAACACTCTTAACTCTCACAATAAAACTAAAAATAAAAAGGATAAAGTAAATTAACTTCTCAGGACTCCTCCCTTTTTTCTCTAAACTTTCTTCATTTATAATTTCCAAAGAGATGCATTGGTATCTCTTCAAAATGTGTCCTGATTGATGTATTTCCTAAGGGATGCCTCGTTCCACAAGTCTTTTAACCATATTTTGGTGGTCATAACCACCATCTTTAACCAATAGGTGCCTCAAATGTCCTTTCAAAATTTGGTAAAATAAATTAAACAGTTAAATAACTGCCTTTGGCGCTTAAGCGCGGGGCTTCTCGCGATTAGGCTTGTCTTTCTGTGTTTCACAAGCGCCGGATCTGACACTTAGGCGCCAAAGTACTTTTGCACCATTTTTACATTTTTGCTCCAAATTTGATCTTTTTTCACTCATTTTAGCATTTTTCACATTTCTACTTGTACATGAAAGAAAAATATACAAATACCTTCCATTAAAGGACAATATCTAAAAAATAGGTATAAAAATGTGTCTAAAGCACTATATGTTTTAGGTGTATCAAATACCTACACAGACCACCCACAACTAAACTTTCAAATGTATGTACTTATTTTGAGGTCAAGGGCACTCCAAGAGGAATGTATTCCTCGGGTTAATTACATATTAGGGATACCCAAGAATACTCTTGATAAAAGGAGTTTCACATTTTTTATTTATAGACATGGGGAAATAGGTCAACGAAGGAATGTTATTCCGTGTGAGAAAGTTCAGATGCTTCAAAGCTATAGCTAAGCTATCGGACATAGAGTGAGTCTACATCACAAATGAGTCTACATCACAAATGGGTAGTGACTCATCGACATACGAAGCCCACATAATAACCAAAATCATCTTGACATGGATATCCTAACACGTCAAAACACGTCCTGGCCATAAGGGCTGAGAATAAATCATCGTATCCCAAACGAGTGACAGTTCATCGACATCGGGCCATCAAATTGATATAAACGAAGTCACATGAGCGACATGGCTCAAAGGGGAACGACGAGGCTCATAGAAGCTCAACAACAAGAAGGGTAGAGTAATCTTAAGAGATAGAGGTAGCCGGGTTGGGGTACCATAAACCTGTCATCCCAAGCTGTTAGGACTCTAAGTCTACATGGTTGTGATGGTAGTTCAAAAATATCACCTGAAAGTTAGATTTGTAAAAAAACATATTTTTGAGTGCTATGTAATTATCCCTATAAATAACGTTAAAAGTATTAAATAAGTAAACATCAACTAATTTAATTAATAAATATATTAGAAAGTAATATTATAAAAATAGATTAAAATTCAATATGCTTTTAACACACACACATATGCGCCGCGTACTCAGATCAGTTTGTCGGACATTTGCTTAATAGTTGTAAGTATCCTTTGGTTTGGGATTTCATTCCCTCGGTGAAGGGTGTTTTACTCGAATTATTAGACGTATTTGGGATGGCCGGGGCTCTTCAGTTTATTCTTTTAATATATATATGCTTGTTTTTC